TAGAGCAATGCCAAGGAAAATCATATGGGTGTGCTGTGAGAGCTGAGAGGCTTGCTCCACTGAGGACGTCAGGCGAACGCCAGCTGTGCCAGGATGTGCTGTATTAAATGCTGGGAGCTGATGGAATATATCAGTTCTATGGAAGTAATATGAGGTAGGAACATAAAACAGTGGGAGGCCTTCTTTATATAGCTTTAAGGTGGGGTGGGTCCCCACCCCCCAGGAACACAGTCTCTTGGGCAAAGTGATCAGGGGTGACATATGGGTGGAGAATGGAGCCAAACTACAAAGTGAAAGATTACTGCTCAGCAGTAGTGAAACCTGCAATCAGCTGAGCAGAATCTGGAGGGTGGGGAGAGATCACATGGCAGGAAGTGCTGCACAACTGAACAGGGATTGCAGATCAATAACAAGGAAAGAGCAGTCTAGGGAGAACAGGCTGGACCTGATGGGAGGAGGTGGGTATGGATCCAGAGGTTTGGCAGGCCAGATTAGGCCTGATGACTCTCCCTGCTCTACAAGAACAGAAGGCAACTCTTAAGTAATAAGGCATGAGGTAGTCTTATTTTAACATTTAATCAATACAGGGCAGAGAAGGGAGGTGGATTCCCTAGATTTCCAAATTGTTCCCAGGATTTTTTTTCCTGGTATTGCTGGGGCCTGTTTCTCCAAATCCCGAACAATGGAAATTTAAGATTTTTAACTCAGAATCAATTACATTATGGATTATCATTCAAACATTTTCAAATTAGTTTGTTTTGCATGTCTTATTCTGAATCAGCTATCCTTGGAGAAAGGGCAAGATAAAATGTGACCAATTAAAATAGTTTTGGGGGAGGGAATCACATACACACACCCCATACACTCTCCCAGGTGTTGCCAAATGACGTACTGTTTGGGTTCGGTATATGCAGAGAGCAGTATCACTGGAAGCCATGAAGGAACTACACATAAACAGAAGGAGCGAGTTTTTAGAAAGGCACCGTACATCTGAAACACATCTCTCCACAGTCATAAGGACTAGAAACTTATGCTTAAATATAAAGAAAATACCAGTAACAAAACTGTAAAACAAAGTAAAAACAGCTGGGATTCTGAGGTGTCCACATTCTGGCTGAAAACTGGCTATGCCAACTCCAGCTTGTCCCAATTCTCAACAAGCTTCTTTGCGTTAAAGCTAAAAGGGGGCTAGAATGGAAACTGAGAGGAATAGAAATCAAGAGCTCCCCTTACTGGATGGACACGGAGCATGCAGGTGCAAAGCGGAAGAGAGGGAAGAAAAGGAAATCCACAGCAGGTTCTCTTCAGCCAGGGACAGCAGCTTCTGTCCACTCGCCCCTTGATAGTCAGACAAAAGGGTGTGCGAGGCTTGCTTAGATCAGTGACCCCTCGATCTCCAATATGGCCTTCTAGGCTTGCACAATGCGCTGTTGTTTTCCCCCGCCCAGTTCCCGGATGCACATACTTACCTTTCACATTTTTGTATGTAGTGAGGGTCTAATGAGACAAAGGGCTTATCCACACTTAACTCTCCTCCGCTCTTTCCAGGCACAGTCCACAATTTAAAGCTCTCTATCCAAACACCCCCCAGTTTTTTACCTTCATTTTTTTTTTTGCTCCTGAGCTTTCCCCGCAAAATCCCACTCTTTAAAGCTCAATTGGAGCAAAGTCAACCTGTGGAAAACCAGAATTGGCAGTTGCTCCGATTGAGCTTTAAAGAGCAGGATTTTGCGGGGAAAACTTGGGGCAAAAAAACCAACCACAACAACACTCAGACACAGACCACTAAAGTGTAGACCTCCATGTGGAAAGAGAAGGGCAAAAAGTAAGAGCGCATAAGCCTAAACTGAGGTGGAAAATACAGAAGAATATAGGAGCCAGAACTCCAGGGTTCAGTTTGGAACTATGAGAGTAAATTGGACTGACTAAATAAGGCTAAAAGTGTTAATGCCTCCTGAGACTTGCACATACTCATACAGATGCATTTATTAATGGTTTACACCAGGCTTGCTCAACCTCAACCCTCCAGATGTTTTTGGCCTACAACTCCCATGATCCCTAACTAGCAGGACCAGTGGTCAGGGATGCTGGGAATTGTAGTCTCAAAGCATCTGGAGGGCCGATGTTGAGGAAGCCTGGTTTACATACTGCTTGTTCATAATATAAAATGCTTTTATGGCTTTATCTTCAGCTTCCCAACAACTATGTGGGAGGTAAGGCATCCCCATTTCTATTTTATATACTGAGGCCAACAAAGAGCAACTTGGCCAAACCCGAGTCAGCCACATCCCTCAGGCAGGAGGTCCGTGACCAAGCAAGGTTCTTAAATTCACCCTCCCAGCTCCAGGCCCACCTCTGTGTTCGCCATGTGGATGAAACTAGTTCTATGTGAGCCTGGGCCTTTCTTAAGGAAAAGGCAAAACAAATAGAGCAGGAATCCCATCACACATTAAAGGACAGAACATGAAGGCTGCCTAGAACTCCATCTGTATGGAAGGTGAGCCAGCACTGATTATGGCATTGCACAGCTTGCTCCACTGGGAGCCTGTCACACATGTGCCATTTTATGTAGCAGCCATGCAGCGGCCATTTTGTTTCCAGAGGGCCCGAGTCAGCCACATCCCTCAGGCATCTTGGCTCTCAGCCTGCTCCCCACTCTTTGAGTCCACAAGCGCACTTTTTCCTTCTCATTTTCTCAGGTGTTCAAGTGCCCTTCTGAACCTAGCTGCTGCATCCATTAGAAAAAGCTGTTTCCCATGTTACATGATTGCTTCTCTCCCAAAATAAGAACTGTGTTTTGTCTCTTTACCTACCAGTCCCAATTACAATACGGGGGAGCCAGTCAGACAATGAGCTCTTAACAAGGCTGTGGCTAATGAAGAAGTGTGTCCTTGCTAATTAATACTGCTGAGATGGGGAATATTTCTTAGATTTGCTCAGTTCAGAATTGGGCAGGATAACTCCTTCAGTGCCCACCACCAGTCTTATAGACAGGAGCACGAGTTACTACTCCAGCCAGGGTTGCAAGATTCCAAGAAAAGAAGTGTTCCGGTGCACTGAATCAGTTTTACTGGAGGAGGAATTTCAGTGTTCCCTTTTTTCCCATAATATTGCTGTAATAGCGGGAGAAGCAGCCCCTTTCAAAATTATCCCTTCTATAAATCTGCTAACAGCTTCAAGGCCTCAATAAATCCCCCCTCCAGTTACAATCCAGGCCCATTTCTCTACTGGTTAAAAAATTTCCTGCCCCTCACATCATTATGTCAATCCAGTGTGAACGTGAATAGCTCCAAGTTGCTATGTAGCACTGGCTGTGAGTGGTATGAGCCAGAAAGGGGTTAAAGCCAAAGAGGAGGGATTTATTATTTTATCAAAATGAGGCTACGGCAGCTGTTTAAATGCAGGAACATCTGGCACCGCATGACCCTGTGAAACAGCAGGGCCAGACGGGGCTCCAGGCACCCATCAGCTACTTTAAGTGGCTATTGAGCGTAATAAATGGAAAAGAAAACGAAGCCAGCCCTTTCCCCAGGACAGGGCAATGCCGAACACAGCAAGATAGCAAGCCCAGCAAAAGGACAGGCATTATTATCTGAGGATGAGGACACATGCCTTTGTCCTTGGGTCAGAAAAATAATAGGATGTTCATTTTGTGGAACTCCTTTAGAAACAGACATGTGTTAAACGTGTTGCATTTTGCAAGGGTGCCTCTACATCATGGGTAGGCAAACTAAGGCCCGGGGGGCCAGATCCAGCCCAATCGCCTTCTAAATCCGCCCCGCAGACATTCCGGGAATCAGCGTGTTTTTACATGAGTAGAATGTGTCCTTTTATTTAAAATGCATCTCTGGGTTATTTGTGGGGCAAAGGAATTTGTTCATCCCCCCCCACAAAAAAATATAGTTTGGCCCCCCCAAGGTCTGAGGGACAGTGGACCGGCCCCCTGCTGAAAAAGTTTGCTGACCCCTGCTCTACGTTATTAGAACCATTTTCATATGGGGAAAAGTGATGCACTAAATGCACCCTACTGAAGCAAACTGAGTGGAAAAACCAAAGTAGAGGTTTGTCCTGCATCCCATCTCTGATCTCTTGGCTCTGAACTAAATCCCATTTCCTCTGTAGAGCCAGGAATCATTTTTTTTAAGTCCTGAGGTCGTCTGCCTCCTGCTGTGACTTTTTTTCCTTAAAAAGTTTTGGCTCACCATTTTATAGTTCAAATCGGGAAAAAGAAATACAATAAATAGATAAAAGTACAAAGATTCACAAAATGTTCAAGGGTATGCGTACCCCTGCGTCCCCCCCAGAAAAAAAGCACTGGAGGAACTACAGGAAACAAAGGTGGAATCAGGAATGGGGAAGGGCAGGGATTCTGCTGTAGCAATTTCCAAATCTCTCCTTTTCAACATTCAATGTTTTTCCACTGTACATTTTTAAACACCACTATTAGGTTGATATTTGAGGCTGGATTTCAGATATCTATCTGCATTGCTATAATAGATGAATATGGCTTTCTGGAATCTGAACCCTCGCTTTTAGTTCAGTACAGCCTTCATTCTTCAAAAGCAGCAGAATTGCGGTCCTCATAACAAAGAGACACCTCTCACCACAAAATGTACAAAATTGAGTAGCAATTTCTAAACACTCCAAAATGAGATTCTTGGGATGTCGGTGGCTGAGTGAGGGACACAGGGGCTCTCCAGATGTTGCTGGACTCCAAATCCTATGAGCCTCAGCTACCATAGGCAGTGGTTACTGATGGGAAGCAGAATTCAGTCACAGATGGAAGGCCACATCTTTGCTTTACATCCCCCAACCCTACCTCCTTGCTACATTTTTGGTCTTCTTCATTCATACACTTCTGGATCATGTTATTTCTAATGTTTTACCCACCCAGTTCCTCTTTTCCTCCAACATATTAGTCCTTGGTAAAGTAAATTTAAAATTCTACTGTCTCTTTTGCAACCACAATGCAACCACAATGCAAGCACACCAAACAGTTTAGCACTATTCTATTCCATCCTGCAATGTTTGGGGATTTCTTACTTTTTTTTAGCTCTGAGCTGTAGATCCCACTCCTCATAATCTCCCAGCATCTGCTGACAGAAATGTACACAAGCACAAAACAAGTTAATGGACAGGGTCCTGTTGACCCGGACAGTGCTGAACCACAGGGGGCTGCCATTAATAAGCTTTTTTCAATTTGCAAAAGCAAAGTTAGAAATATCTCAAAATATTGTGTGCTGGTTAAACACCATAAACAACATTTGGGTAAGAATCTCAACATCAACTGAACTGTTTTCAAAAAGCAGTATCAACTATCGAAGTCTGTAGATTTCCCCACCACCACTTTGTTAAAAGAACTTCAGGTTGGTTTGTGGATAATCAGAGTTCCCACCTCAACTTGACAAAATGCTCTGGTTGAAGGCTGATCAGCATGGAAAGGGAACTCTGGGCTGAGAGTCAACAAGATTTTCAGCTGAACCCCCTTGCAGAGCTTGCCATGTGCCAAAATGCTAGCATCTTCAGAGAGACAATGTGCATCGGTGTGTTAGCAATTGCCTTGTGGGGCACTCGTGCCCTTTCTGCAAAGGACAGCTGTAGGTGGTGGACAGAGAGCCTTTCAGCACTAAGCTCTGGTACTGGGCAAAGCCTGGTAATGGATAGGGTACTCATGCCAAGTCGTTCTTTCTCACACCAGGCTTGCTCTCAGGTAGAAGAGTACTGGGCTAGATGGATTTACACCATACATTTAAAGCACACAATTAGCCTCAAAGAATCCTGGGAAGTGTAGTTTGTTAAGGGTGCTGGGAACTGTAGCTCTGTGAAGGGAAAATTACAGTTCCCTGGATCCTTCAGGGATGAATTATGTGCTTTACACGTGGGTTGAATGTGCTTTAACTGTATGATGTCCACAGTCTGTCCATAGCTGACCTGGTATTAAGCAACATCCTGGGTTCCTTATGGCCAAAGGTTGCATAAAGTTGAATCTGATTATCTCAGTGATAGAAATAGGTGAGTAAAATTTCACTTAGCGATGCTTTTCAGTCAAAGTCTACTCTGAGGTGGCAGCATCACATTCAACATCCTCAGAGCCACAGATAGGATAGTACTTATATACGTGATTGGCAATTCTGCATTTAAAAGAAACAAATAAATCTGAAACACTAAATCTACATTCCAAGCCCACTGAGCAGTCTTGAGTTAGTTATCATCTTGTGAAGATAAAAGGGGACACAATCCCCATGAACACGATCACAGATTTCTTGGAAGATACAAAAGATGAGATGCACCCCTGACTTTAGGGAAGTCAATTCCCTGTTAGTAGATCAATATTACCAGATAGCACTCAGACATTATTTTAAGTTAGAGTCCACATCTTGAGGGCTAGCAAACTGCTCCTTTTCTTTTGTTTATTTGAGGGAAACTCCCAAAATGCTACCATGGCAGCTACAACATTCAGCACTATTATTTTTTTGATTTCACATCATGATCTTACGACTCCCTTGCCTGCTGCTGGGTAGACTGGAAACCAGGAAGCACAGATGGGGCAAGTAAAAACTTCCAATGGTCTTCAATATCAACCAAATTCTCAGGTGAAAGAATGGCATATTGCTGGGCTCTGCTCTAAATATTCATTCACAGCAAGGTTTTGTTCTATAGGCAACTGCAAAATCTCATTTGTCTAAATGGTACGGACAACACGGAAAATGTTGGGATAAATTAGAAATGTAGTTGAAGAGGGATGCTGTCTGCCTAAGATGCACTATAACAGGGCCACAAAGGAACTGAATAAAAAATTGAAGTCCACAGAAGCAGCCCCACATTTTAATGGGGCACCTCCACAGTAATAGTGGCGGCTTGCAGCCTGAGAAGTTAATACAGACCAGGCACTGGTGTCTGAATTGTTTCTCATTCCTTAACTTTGCTTGTAATATTTATTTGAAACAACTGATGATCCAGTGAGGTGTAGTTGGGGGGCTGCGGATTTCCCACCCAGATTTTGGGCTTTTTTTGAGCTCACAGTAGTGTATCTTCTCTCTCTCTCTTACACACACATTGCACAAGACCTAGTTTGAGAATCAGGAGAGCATCTCATTTGTACCTTCACTGAATGTTTTTTTCTCTAATGCAGGGCTCAAAAAAACCCCAGTAGCTAAACCTTCTTTCCAAACCCAAAGCACACCTCATTCCTTTGATCTCCCTGCCTTTCACGCCAGCAACAAAAATCGCTGTTATCTGATTAAAACAAAGGTCCCCCCACAGCCTCTTAAAAGCAGTGCTCTCAGGCTGATGGAAAGCTGAGGGTAGCCCCCAAATAATGTTTTCCTCCCCATCTTGCTACATAGAATAAGATAAGCCCAAGAAAGACAAACTAGTTAGATCTAACCTTGCAAAAGTCTGTATGTAGCTCCTTGAGAAAGAAAAGAGGGTGGGGGAGGGGTTTGCATTCATGAAACTGTTGAAAAGTAAAAATTGATTGTCATGAAATCCGATTCTCGCTGGCCTGGTGCTTAATGAGCCTGTTCCTTATTTCTCCCTGCAACATTACAATGCCATAAAAAGAAAAATAAGACACAGGCAGAGAAAAAAATTAAAAATGAAACCAAAGCTCTTAACTCCCCATTTGCAAGCACTAAAAACTGCAATGCCTGTTACCTGTGAAAGAATTATTTCACACACACACACACTGCACACCAGCGGACGTGTATGAAGCAGACGGAAGAGAATCAAAATTTTATGATTCTTTTTGAAAGCTATTGTTTGACTGGTCTAAAGAGAAATTGGGAAGTTCTAAAGTTCCAAATCACAAGGGCCAGGTCATTTCTGCTCCCAAAAGTCACTTAAAAAAAATATGGCAGCATGTTTGGTAGAAGAAAAGACCCGAAGCCCAGGGGAATGGAAGGAGGGGGGGAGGTCTAAGTTGGAAGGCCTCTGCAATTATTTAATAACACTTTGCTTTAAGTGCTTCTCCACTCAGTTTAAACTGGGCAAATTAGAGGAGCAAGCCTCCAAGTGGAACAGCTAATGGGCCCTGGTTTAACCAATAAGGGGGGTACTATACGAGGCACAAAGAAACACTTAATGCCACAATCTGTAAGCATGTTGGAGAAACAGAACCAACAGCAACACACTGGCTGTTACATCCCCTTTCATACGTATGTGCAACAGAGAGAACGATGCATTTTATGGAAGACATCTCTTCGGACTGGATTGTAATTCAGAAGATGGGCGTCAAGGTCAGAAGGGCAGGGGGGACAGGGTTTGTGCCTGAACTGGGTTCCAGTTTGATTTTTTCTGAGGGCTTGCACCAAGCAAACAACCATCCTGTCCTCAAGATGAGCAAATTGGAACCAGTGCATCGGATCCTCTGGGGGGAAGCGACAGTGGCTCTCAGGGTTCTGCGGTGCTTGTGGCATTTGAGACAAGCTAAATTCGCAAGAGGAACACCCAATGCAAAAGGTCAAAGCTCTGTCTAAAATTACTCAGTTTAGAACCAGAAGAAGCACCTCAAAAGAGGGGAGCTGGGGAGTTGCCATGTCACGAGGGGGAAAATGTACCTCTTTTCCTAACCAGTGGAAGTGGGTTTGGAAAAAGTGGTGGAAACCAGTTTTTGTAGATAATGAAATGGATGCTGGGATTGCGGTGGAAGGTCTGGATGGGCTGATCTGCCCTGAGAGCCCCAGATCCTAGCAAATGCCAGGTACGTTTATACAGCTGTCTAGCACTTTGCACAACTCACAGAACAAGCGTCTGAAATATGTGTGAGCACACACACACTATTTACCAGCACCTTGCAGGAAATCGCTCTTGTACGGTGTGACCCGGACGTGTAGGTGCAGTCTATTCACGCTTGCATGGTGTTCCCACGTGCAAACCTTGCACACCAACTCCGTACTGATACACCTGCCTCCGGGAGCCAAGTGGCACTGCACGACCACGTGCGCGCGTTTGTACACACAACGGGTACGTGAGGGCGGGCGCCGGAGCCTCGCTTGTGCGGCGCCTGCGAGCGCGTTCCGTGCGCATTTCAGCCCTATGGGAGTTGAAAGGATATGCAATATATCGTACTGGAATATGACACGAGCGTCCGATGCATGAACGTCTGAGTTCGGGAAGAAAGATCGGCGCTGCCCTCGGCTGGACCGACCAGTCGACCTCGGGGTGCCCGCGCGTCACCAAGCCGCCGCTCTTCGGCTTCTTACGATGCCATTGCGAAGCGCCGCGGCGCGAGCATTGCGAGCGCGCCTTGACCCGGAGTTACACCTAACCGCCCCCGTCGCTGTCTGCGGGCTAAGCGGGAAGAGGATCCGAATTGGCAGCCAGGCTATATTTACACGATTCACGTCTCGCGAGCCGCCTTCCGCGGAGCCGCCAGACGGGCCGTCGCCCCAGAGGAGAGCGGAGGAGGTGTTTTTACAGCTTGGCAATCTCTTCTCTTCCTCGCCCCACTCCGCCAAAAAACCCAAACCAAACACCCCACACAGGCGCTCCGTGCTGATTTCTTTTTTGTGGGCGGGGGGAAACGAACTTGCTGCATAATCTTGATTGTGTCCCACGCTAAGAAAACAGGACACACACGCAACCCACACACACAACCCAGCCGCCCGCCCAGCTCGCCAATCAATGCATACAGACGACTCCCCGCTCCCCAGAAATCAGCCTCTGCCTTAACTTTCGAGACACGCGTCAAGTCTCTGCTGCTTACATTCCAACGAATTGTAACCCGGAGTCGAGTCAAAGTTGGGGAAACGATGCGGGCGGCGGCCAGAATTAAAGCAATCCCTCCTCGCCATATACACAGTACCAGTCTTTTTTTGGACCGGGCAGAAATCCCTCCTGGTTCCTTTGGTGCCCACTTTCCCTTCCCTCGTGCCAAGGGGCAAGTTTGCTTCGGGCACAAGGCTGCCTTCTGGGGCGACGGCAACTTCCCCCGCCCGCGACCCCCTCGCCAGCCAGCCAGCCAGCCAGCCAAGCCGCCCGCGCCTTCTCCCTTCCCCGCTCGCTCCTTACCTTTTGCAAGAGCCACTGGCTAAGGAGCAGATGCACCCAGCTAAGGACCTTCATGTTTCAAGGCAAAAATCTTCCGCCAGCATTGAGAGCGCGGCGGGGAAGGGGGGTGGGTGGGAGAAAGAAAGAGAGAGAGAGAGAGAGAGAGAGAGGTGGGTCTGGAGGAGGTGTGGGGAGCTCGAAGAAAGGAAGACCACCAGCAGCAGCAGGCGCCCCCCCCCCCCAAAAAAAGGGAAAACAACAAAATCCTTGCGGTGGGAAGGAGACCGCGAAAGAGCTGTGCGGGAAGGAGGAGCAGCAGGTATCCGGAGCAGCAATCCAAGATGCACTGAGAATTGAGGCGGGGGGGGGGGAGAAAGTTGACTCTGCACTTGATCGGAAGGAGGGGAGCGCGTGGAGAAGAGACGGGCGTGAGTTGCATGCGCCCTGCCCAAGATGCTGGCAGGGAAGGGGGCGCTGGCGGCGGGGGGGGGTATGATGTTCCTTAATTCCCTAGTTCACCAATCCCAGTCCGCCCGCCGCTGATGGGAGAGGGTGTTGCGATTTTTCTTCCTACACCTCTTCCTGGGAGGGAAAGAGTCTGGGGCAAAAAAAAAAAAGTGAGCGGGGGGAGGCGGAGAACATGCTGAAGAAGTTAAAATTGTACTTTTCACAGAAGAGAGTAGGGTTGGTTGGTTTGAACTTGTGATCTCAAGGGGAAGGAAGACATCAAAGGTTGCCCCCGCCCCCCCTCCCCACCCTCGGCAGCATACGCGTAAATCCGTTTACTTCCGTGGGTTCAGATCCATGCGCAAAATCGCAGGGTGCAGTGTGTTAAATCTTCCAGTTCGAACAAGAGATGTTGGGGGGGGGGGGGGCTAAACAGGGGACAGCATACAATAAGGTTTAATCTGGGCTCTCGGATCTGTTTTCAGCCATAGTGATCAGTCTAACTGGGGTTGTATGCAACTATAGGCTAACCTTGCTATTTTACTTTCTATATAGGTAATATTTCAAAAATGTCAGAAGACTGTCTATCTTTTGGCAGAGGTGCTTTTAACGCCTAGTACATGTTAAGTTTTTGAGGATTATTTTTATAAATTTCTCTGAAACGTGATAATAAATAAAATAATTTCCAGAGGGGTGGGTGTGCCCTAACAAATGTTTTAAGGTGCCTCAAGACCTTTCTGACAGAGAAAATAGTGCCCTCAAGCATGCACAGAGTTTGTGCCAGGTTATTTTCACTTACCACTAAGAAAGCTTAGGCATCTTGGATTTTGGGGAGGGTCTTTCATAGCAGTAGACACTTAGTTCCAGGTGGGCTTGAATCCCATCACCAAGCATTTAATTGTTTCATAGAGAACTGGAGACCCATCCGCTTCAAAATCAAAATCCCCTTTCTATTCCACAGCCACCCGCACCTACCTAAAGACAGATGCTGCCCCATCAAGGACATGTTTCCTCCCAGAGGCCCCTCTGCCCTCCAGTTCCTACCCCCGAAGCAAGCTGACTTCAAGAACCTGCCTCTTGCATATGCAGAGGATGCCCTTATATATTCTAAGGTGTCTGCCGCCTCATATGCGGGCAGTAATTCTTTCATTTCAGCAGAAATACATATTCAAGTGTTATTTTTCTTCTCCCTCTTTCCCCTTGAAGGCTGACAGGGCTCTGCCTGGTGTGTGAGCAGCAGGGGAGCGGGGATGCGGGGAGGGAGCCACCAAGGGAGGGGGGGGGGAGTAAAGACAGGATCCTACGCAACCCAAACAAGGAAGCAATAAAGCTGCCCTTTTAATGCTGGCACCAGCAGGTGCTTGCCCTTTCACTGGCCACCTGGCTCTTTTGCAGCTGGCACACCTGCCTGGCTTTCTGAAGAGGGTGCTGGGAGAGCTCTTGCCAAATGTGCCCTCTCTTGGAGTGAGGGGGGGCATATCTCCCACCCCACACCACATAGAGGTATCTCAGAACAACTGGGCCTTCCAGGAAGGGTGGCCATGCCAAGGGACTGGTGGCCAGGGAGGAGCTGGGAGACAGCTTTCACAATGCCCTATGTTTCTTTTCCTAAAACACCAGCTTCTGAAATCATGGGATTGTGGGGCCAGTCTCTGTTCTGCCCTCCTCAGAGCACAAGGTGAAAGGATGCTCTACAGATGTTGGAGTATGATACCCACGGGGCATCAACTGAATGCTTGCTGGGCTGGATCTAGACACGTCAAAAAAACTTTCAGCAAGACGCGTTGTAAACCTCATAGTGGGAAATCGTGTTGCCGAAAGACGGAACTCCACAGCACCATCTGGTGCCACAGTGTTACAATGCATTTAAAATGCTTTTCCTTTACTGATGTAGTTGAGTCCCTGGCTTAGTCCACAATAAAATATCTAATCATTGATTTAACTGTGGGTGCCAGGGCAAATCTGGTTGGTGTCATTGAGACCTGGATGGAGGGACTGGGAGGAGTTTGCCAGCAGTGTCCTCCTGGGTACTTGGTACATTGCTAGCACTGATTCAAGAGTCAGGAAAGTGAGGAGGTGCCATGGTCTATAGCAGGGATAGCCCAATATGGTGCCTTCTAGATGTTGTTGGCCTCCAGTTCCCATCAGCCCTAACCTGCATGGTCAGTGGGCAGGAATAATGCAAGATGTAATCCAACAATATCGGGAGTGCAACACATTTGCTGCCCTCATAGGGGTTGCCAATCCTTTTGGGCAAGTGGGCATATCTGAAATTTTGGGAAAGTGCCCAGTGATGTTGTAGGTGGGCATATGCCAAGACTGGGGTATGCGTAGGGCAGAAATCCTTGCACTGACCAGATAAAGCAGTTTGCAGTGAACCACGGGCTTTTCGATGGTGCCACCCTAGCTGGTATTCTTTCGCCACCTGGCATGTACTCTGTGTTGGTGCCAGGTGAATATCTTTTTATTTTCCCAGGCCTTTAAAATTATTTTAAAATCTCTTCGCATTTTTAGTGCTGACTGAGAGTCTTGTCTTATTGATTTTATTATAGGCTGCTTGAGGTTTGTTTGTTTAAATGCTGCATTATATATTTTTTCTTTTCATGGTTACTGTACAGTATATTAAATATACATTATAAGCCACCCAGATAATCTTTGTATGGGTAGCATACAAATATTCTAAGTATTTTTAAAATGGTATTCATTTCATCACGGGGCATCACCCTACAACTTTTGGCCCTGCCCATGGAGGCCGTGTGTTTGACATCCAAAGCCTGCACCCTTAACTACCATTGGTGCAATTTGTTCAAATCAAAATCACTCCCAAAGTACTTTAAATATGGTGCATTACCTTCCCATACTATGTCCCCTGTCACCATGTGTTTAAGAAAGTTATTCAAATGTACCGGGGTGACATTTAAGTAGTGGGAGGGGGCAGACAGCCCTGAATACTTGGGATAACATGTTGTTATTCCTCAGCAGCTTCGGCAACTGTAGTTCAGCTTTCTGGTGATGATGGTTATATAAACACTCCAGCAGGCTGACGTATGAATTAGGTATGCATGCCAAAGGCTCAAATCCCTTTTGCTTACTAAAAGGGAGTGGGATTGGAAGGATCTGTTTGCTGTTGATAACATTGCTTTTGTTTTATTGAGGTACTTAAAGAAACTAATCACAACAGTTGTTCTTAAAATCCACCTTTTTCGCCATTTTATTGTCAAATGTTTACCAGGAGTGGATCTTTGCATCTTTCTGGTGGGGGGCCCAAGCGTGAGGGAGAAAGGTACAATTTACTGGGGCTTCTTTGATCCGGGGCAGGGGCCAGACCAGCCTGCAACCCTTTATCACGAGGGCAGAACATGAAGCTGAACTTCAGATCTTGAGAGAGTTGCTAGAGCCAATCGGAACAGAAGCAGTGCTGCAACAGTCTGAAGAGAAAAATGCTGCTCCAGGCCTTTTTCCTAGGACAAGGAGTATATACTTTGTGCAGTTAAGCCAGGACTTGTAGTTAGAGAGACAGAGAAATCATTTGTGTTTTCCTACGTCAAATGCTCTCTCAAAAACCACATTGATAATGAGGGACATTAATCCCAAGAACAGGGGGAACAAGTGCTGATTTACAGGCCGAAAATATATGTCATCAAATGTCCAGTACATGCACACACCTTCCTGCCATGTCTGTCTATAAATATAAATCATGAGATTGAATGTATGCAATGGAATCATGATCTATGTGTGGGAAGGAGCCTGCCTGGCAAGTTTGTCCTGCCCCCTCCCCAGTGAAGCTGGGCCCTGCTGAACATAGCTGTCAACTTACAGATTTGAAAATAAGGGACCTGCAGCCTCACCTGTTCCAGGCACTCCAGTCTTCCTGTCCTCCTGCAGTCTGGTCAAACTCATGCTGGGTAGCTTCGAGAACACTGTCCAACCAACTTTGTAACCAGAGGTTCAACTGAATAGAATCTGAATCACATGCACCACAAGGCCTATGCAGCCTCAACTTAAGATGGCTCCCCGGCCTTTGAAATTTAAGGGACATCATTTAAGGGACATTTAGGGGACATCCATCAATAAGGGACAGCAGTGGGACATGGCGCTGGAATAAGGGACTGTCCCTTCAAATAAGGGACACTTGACAGCTATGCTGCTGAAGAATGTTGATCACAGCCAGTGATATCTTAAGTCATAGGAGCCAACTCCTAGGGGCCAAGAGGTATTTGACACCCCCCAATAAAATATTCGTACCCCCCCCAAAAAAATGCTCTGTGTGTGCCACATCATGTGATTGATTGATTGATTGATTGATGCCGGGCAGGGCTTCCCTCCCCCCCCTCAATATTTTTTCTAGTTGGCACCCCTGTCTGAAGTGGCACCTCCGTTCAGATTAAGGGCACCAGTTACATGATGCAAAAATAAAGAGGACACGTTTCACCATAAAAAAGGACACAGATTTTTATAAAATGTTCACATGCTAATTAATAAATAATTACTATGTAGAAAGAGATACAATGCAAAGAATAACTAGGAAGTAATTAATAACTGGAGTACTGAAGGAGATGCAGTGTTACAAATTAAAAAAAAATTAAAAACCACAAAAGGAATGGGGGGAAGTCAAAATATACGTATTTGTTGGAAAATGTCGCATTGTATGTTGATTTGTCAAAATATTTCTGAAAGACTGAAAAATAACATTTATTTTAAAAGTGAGAAAGAGATACAATGCAATTCACCCTCGTGGGGAAGATTGTGCCCAGGTGATCTGTGGCCTGC